TAAAATACGTTAATCGCATTTATATTTGCTGCTTAAAAGGGAAGTCGGTGCCATAACTCACGAGGAAGTCAAACACGGCGAGCCCTGTGCGTAATACGAGGGTTAACTAAGTCAAGATTTATAACGTTGACATCTGAACCAGACTGGATGCGGCGTGAATTCACTGCTTTCGGTGATCTGTGATCCTTCTCGCCGCACCAACACATGCCGGCGAACCCTACTCACCGGGTATATTATTTCACATTTAGTCACCCCAAAAGAAGTTGACGTTTCTTTCGTAAACGCTTTTTATTATGATAATAAGTGGTGCAATTGCAAACTTTTCAAGTCAGGTCAAGATTGCAACGAGATTACAATGGTGCTTAATTTTTTCTCAGCGGTCATAACAAATGATTAATCAAAGATAAAAAGCTCACCCTAGAAGTAAAAGTTGAAATTTTAAATATTTGATTGCGCATTTTTTTTTCTGGGGTGAAATGTGGAACAATTTTTGTTTTCACATCGATTTTTTTCTAGTTTTTGGGACAACTCAGCTTTGACGCTGCGTCAGATGCTATTCGAACTGTTTTACGACAGCTAGTAAAACAAATGGATTGCCGCTGATCGGTGATGTATTTCATGGTCTTCCGGTTTTATGAATTTAACTCGTCTTCGATGAGCGGCACCGAGTCGCGTGTTTTTACGAACCTCTTCGGTCTTCGCTTTACGGCTTAATAATATCGAAGTTTGGGCGAATTTTTCCAGGTTTCGCAACCTCTTCGTTCGTTCATTACGACCGACCGCATCTCCGCCCATTGCATCACCATCGACTTTATTATCTCTCCGACGATCGTTATTGATGTGTTTTTTTTTGCTGCAAATAAACTTGTCTCGAAATAACAAATTTATTTTCGCACGCAAGCAAAGTTTTCATTGTGTAATCAATCCCAGTACCTCTGGAAATGCGTTTACAATATTTTCATAATATGTGCTTGCGTTTGAATTAGATTTCAACGGATTTATGTTTTGTCGAGAAGAGGCGAGAGGAAATGGAAAAAGTAAGCATTAATTTTCATTAGATGGTTTTTTATTGGCTCTGTGTGTTGTTTTGTGCGCGTCCGTGCATCGGTAATCATTTGTCGCTCTTTTTGCGCCGCCAGCCTCGAAGTGTGGCGGACATCCACGCACCACGCGCTTATTACTTTTAAATTACGAAATAAGTCAACGCGACGCGCCAACAGGATGACGATCGTTTTTTCATCGGCGTTTCTTGCGCCTCACCGCGCCGTTTAGACGCACACATGGTCAATGCGCTTTCGGAAAATGAGAGATAATGGTCGGATATGAAATTCAAGCATCAGCGCAGACACCGAATTCGCTTGTTTGCTGCTTGTGCTCGTGCGCAACAGTAAAACAAAAACAATTATTTACATTATTTACTAATCTAGCCAATGGTGATGTGGCGGCGGTGACGCAACCGATTGTTTTTATCGTGACTCGTGAGCACAAGACAATACTAGTGGCTTTTTTGTTGTTGCTGAGCGTCACTCGAGCGATTTGATGACGATGAGGAAGCAATAAACCTAAAAGAAAACCACATATACGCCGCAAACAACGAATCATTGCGCATCGTTTGCTTACTATAATCAACTATCTTTACACTGCCAGGTAGCGCACGAAAAACGAGATTAATTCAATCGGATGGATATGAACGTCAAACACGGTTGGGTTTGTCACGAGCCGATAAAAAATCGCTTCTCTTTTTTCGTGCTGTTACATGTTACACGTTTCTAATCCGTGATTGCACAGGAAAGGTTCACAATCAAATCATAAGCATTACAAGTAGGTATGTATGTAAGTACACGTTGGTATCATTTATCTTTGCACAGGTCCGCATTTTCAATTAAAAACTTTTTGATCACGAAATAATTAGGTATATTTGTGATAAAGTTTTTAAATTCGGACCTGTTGTACGAGTTGAAAATATGAAAACGGCATGTTACGAGAGCATCGAAAACGTATATCACTGCCGATGGCATGACGCTCGACGCGTCAGTAATCCATCACCATCAGATTTAATTCTTCACGGGAGCTTAAGCCCTGACCGGCCGAACCACCAAAGTAGCCACGAAATCATGTGCACACATCGTTGGATACATCGAAACGGCGAGGCTCGTTTTTCTCGCCCTGTTAGGTACATGCGGTGCGGACATAAAATTCTAACATTGAAATCACGCCGCGTCGGAAATCGCACTCGTTTATTATAATAGCTCCTGCAGTCGTGCATGGCGTGTGCATTTGCATAACGCACGTAGGTAATCTTGGATAATTTTTGCATTTTCTTAAATTTGCCATAAAAAATTAATCTTTATTCCGTCTAATATGTTTTAAATCATTCGCTATGAACACGAAATACTAGGCAATCAGGTGGATAATAAATAATCGCAGATTATGGCGAAGCGGCATGCTAATTATGACAAACACATGATAGAAGAAATAGTAGGGCTTCAATATGGCGATGGCGCAACTTCCACTTCCAGCTATGCGAGTTTTCACAGCATTTGACATCAAAGACAAAGCGCGCCCGCAAATGATTCGTGTGGCCGGCTTGTCGATAAGCCTTTTACGCCGCGGCCGCGCGGCAGATAAGTCTCTTAAGATTGCGGCGGCGCGCAGGTCATCTGGAACACGGCTAATAGTCGGCGCGCTCGCCGGGCTCTAATTAATGGTGCTCATGATATCGCCGCACGCCTCGAACGCGCGTATTCGATGTGACTGCGGCTGGCCTGCGCCACGAATAGATTTATGGCGTATAAAACTCCTCCTCGCACGATTTCAGAGTCGATTTTTACGCACCGCAGTAATATCGGAAATCTTCGTGTGTCAAACGTGTGTTTCACACCGTCTTTAATTCCTTCCATGGCAATTAAATTAACGCGCAAACTATTGTTTCATTTCGTGGCCGAATGTATCAAAGAATGGACTTTAATTTAACTTATTGTGTGATTGTGTAACTGTATGGAACATTTTTTCGTTGCTGGGCTGTGCGTGATAGACTGATGGACAAACGATTGCGCAATTTTTTTTCTCTCAATCGAAACGCGGTGGGCGCAGAAACTCGTTGCGTTAAAAAGTTACAAATTGCATTACCGCATGGCGCATCCCTCATCAGAATGATGGCGTACAGGGTCGAATTTTAACCCGATAATCTGCAATCACGAAATTGAAATTTATTGCTCTGGGAAATTTTTGAATTTCAGCTCTGGAAAGATGAAATTCTGCGTAAAACGTAACGATAACGACAATCTCTCTGGTGCTGTACTACATAGCACAAAAATGATTTCGAATGTCGAGGGCGATAATGCAAAAAAATTGCAAACGCGATAGATACGTGAGCCTAGTTCATACGAACGTTCAAAACCTAAAAACCAGACGGTGTTTCAAATCTGTTAAACCATCAAAATATCATTTTCGTTTGCCACATTTGAGTGCACGCCAGCAATTTCGACTGGTCTTGTGCTACCAGAGACGCGCATCGCAAAGCGAAGAGATAATTTGTTAACTTAATTTTACGGTTATAACAAGCAACGAGTGTGAATGCTCGTTAGAACTTAGTGTTAGACCAGCGTGCAGCATTTTAGAAGATGGTTAGTGCCATGAGCGAATGGCGAATCGAATTAAGTATTATTTTCATTGTGTCATAATTTAACTGTGATTATTTAACAACAAATGTGAGAAGTAACAATGCCTCGAGTTTCGAGAGTTAAATAAAACATGTTTTGTTCTAGTGTGCCGAAGATAAATGACGTAAAAGGCTGCGAACGTTGATGTAAATTATAAGCAAAATTGTAAATAATATTTCAAACCTACACAGGTCATATGGTTAATTAATAATAAAGGTAATTAGCAAAGTTCAACACAGCAATAAAATTATAATACCCCATTATTTTCGTGCCTGACAAATGTAGATATTTTTTTTTTGAGGATAAGAAAGAAGAATAAGAAAATAACAGTTTTGACTACTTTTGATGGCCCGAATAGAAACAACAACAACTACAAAAAGAAGACAGCCTTCCTCCTGCATCCCAAACGCGTCTTCGCTGGCATCGCACCCGCCTCTTCGCCTCTCTTTTTATATAAACTTAATTATAACACGTAAACTCATTAGGTGTAATGTGGAGTGCAACCGAGAAGGCGATGCGAGCCAGAATGGAAGACATATGGCCCGAGAAGGTGTGCAACGATCTCTTAAACGTTCCCGCGTTTAAGGCGATATTAGAGCGTCCGTGAAAGGGCGTGCGGCGAGCCGCGTTGAGCGGCGCCAGGGATAATTACAGGCCATGGCAACTGCGATATGATGAATTAGTCGTTTCCTCGCCCGTTTCGTTTCGCCGTAACTTGCAAGCCAATAACGCATAACGGCGACCCGCGTGAGGATTCTATTCGAAATGAATCTTAATTGTCGACGTGCATTATTCGCTGGGATGCTTGCCGCGTGCGTACTTGTTCGGACTGTTGGAAGTTGGTTTCTTTGTCGGCGAGGTGTTTTCCTGGTTTGGTGAAGTCACATTTGGATATGTTTAGATAAGAACGTAATAAATCGTTGGGCTTGCAGCTATGTTGTATATTTTCCAATCATTGATGCGTGATGTAACTTTGATTTTGAAACAAAGAGCTAGCGACGCGTAGTGCAAGGGGCTCGAATCAAGAATCAAATCGTGTTTCGAGTAGAAATAACCGTGATAGAAATCTGCTTTACTGTTAGTGTCGCCAGCTGTAGGGCGTGGTTAGAACTAACCTTGGTTGTTTTGAAAGTTTCCTGTAAAGCGGAAATAGGCATTTACCTGATTGCTACTAACAACTAAGATAAATTAAAATTGATGATTTCATCAAACTGTTGATTTCTGTAAATGTTTAATATTTCTGTTGTGTTTCTGTAGATACTAAAACTGTTAGATAACGCACTACTGGTTATTATTTAAACGCAGCTACTATATTAGGAATAAAAATGAGGCGTATAGTTTGAATATTTGCATAAATATTTATTGATAAAATATAAGCTTTACTTGTGTTACAATTATTTCCACATTATTTATGATATTCACACAACGCAAATGTCTAGATCTTTTAAATTTAATATCACATAGTAATTAAAATTTTTGGCATATACACAAGAAGCTATGTCAACTAAAAAATTAAGTACTTCCAAAAATAACCAGAATGTCCTTAAATGTAATTGAACCAATTACTATCACAATATAAATCAGCTAAGGTAAAATCTACTACACTATCATTTCTTCAGAATCAGAGAATGTTCTATAGAGATACTCCTAGATTGAAATGGCATTAAATAGAACAAATAAACTAATTGACAAGGTTTGCCTAGGTTAAAGACAAAAATAGACTGATATTTTTCAAGTAGGGGTGCCAGTGAGTATCAATTCCACTTTAAAAATTGTATCCATAAGTGTAACATTATCAGTGCATGTCATGCCTTGGCGTTTCAGGTCTTCCAAACGTTGTTCAATGCCTGCCTTGTCTCTGCCATTCAGCACCCAGATTTTTTTGCACATAAACAATATTGGCACATACAGCAAAAGCAAGTCACTATCACTAACGCCCTCAAAACGATGTAAAGCCAAATCCGCCCACTTCAGTGTATTGGGTGCTCCAAGTATATTAAAGGAACAACTAAGAAGTCGGCATAGCACCAGCAAAACTTGTGGTGACCTGTCTGTATATATATTATTCAATATTCTGAATGTATTCTCCAATATTGGTATGGCAGCAGGATAGTCCTTTTGTTCAATCAATTGCTTTGCAGTGGTCATTTCAGGTTCTTGCAAAAATTCCAACAGTGATTTAGAAGATCTTAACCTTTCCTCACCCATTATATGTTGCATTAGTGTTTCGAATGCTATTGATCTGGTGCGGATCAACTTGTCATCAAAGTTTCCAGTTAATGCCTTCTTGGGAAAGACAACTGGTGCCATTAAATCAGCATATTCCTCAATCAGCCCATTATATAAATTCAGAAAATGTGTGTATCTCCTTTCAATTGAAACACCCATCTTCATTCTTGTTACATGACATACTTTCAGAGTGTACACAACATATCGTTTTGTATCTTCATCACAGAAATGTGCAGATATAACTTGAAATAGTCGAGATTTCTGAACTGCAAAATACACAAACTTAATATCATATGTCAAAAATTGAGCCAAATTAACTTACCTGGTTCATTTGGTTCCATTGCTTATATATGTAATTTGTTGCACTAGAACTAGGCAAGTGTATATTAAAAAGGTGATCTTGAACACAATGGGCAACACAAGTAGTAATCAGGTGGGCACTATCTACCTCTATTGTGGTATGAATAATCTAATTATTTGCAAATGATAAGCAAGTATGAATCATTTTAACCACATTGATTGGGGCGCGTTCCGTAACCACAAAAGCGTACTGTGTGTTGCCTATACGCATCGATTAGATAAGTTTATTTTATTACTTTCATTGGTGAATGCGTAATCCATTGTATAGTTTAAAACATTTATTTATTAAAAGTTATACGTGATTTCTTCTGGATTTACATTTTATATATTGAGTTGACATGTTTCGCCCTGAAGGCATCTTCATAAACGGTTTATCTTCTTAAACTGAAATCACGTACAACTTTTAATAAATAAATATTTTAAATTAAGTTTATTTTATTTTTCTTATTCATAATTGTCAAATTAAACGATGTTTTTTTCTAATTATTTATTGTTAAAATATCATTAGGTAAATATTAAAAAAAAGTGATTTGTGTATAATATAATCACAGTTTATCGTAGTACGTATGTAATATTAATGCGCTATGATTAAATTTTGATTTTTTTTTCGTATGTAGCGTTTTCTAGTGATCATATTTTCGTAGTGTTTTATTGATTGTTATATTCATAAATGTGCTTAAATGGTAAAATAGACATGTATTGTTTATTTCTATAGCTATCAGCAAGCGCGAGCATTCGACACGAGAATTGTGTTTGTTTTGAACACAACTTTCACTTTCTTATCGCATTCGCCGCGTGAATGCAACGCATGAGATCCCCTCACGTCGCATGTTGGCGCATCTTAGTTTAGTTTTGATCGCAGGTAACGTGCCCAAGCGATTCGCGCACAAGGTCGCGTGCAATCGACGCACTGGCTTTGCGCTTCTATTGCTTTCTTATCATAAATTGTCGCGTCGTTGCTTGCATAGTTTGCAGCCAGTTTCGTGCCGGTATCTAGGTAGTTGACTATAGTATCGACTATAGTAATGTTATTTATTGTTTGCGCGTTTATTGTCCATAAATACCGGTTAAGTGTATCTCCCCATGTTGATTTGATATTCATCACTAGGATGACCCAATCGTGCTAGTGTAATCGTGTGATTATAATATTATTAAATTGTATTAAATGTTTTTGTTTTAACATATGTTTTCTTTGTTTATTTACAGTATTTGCCGTGCCTTGGAGTTTATAAGTTTATAAGTTCTGCATTGGTAAGTTTATAATTCAATTATATGTTTCATTTTAATTTCTGCGTTCTCTATTAGTTAATATTTACGCTGTTCTGATTTATCGCGTTCCACCGCGTGTTGCAAATATATAAGATAGTCGCGTACTCGGCTGATACATCTCAAAATTAACTGTTTAGTTTTTCCTTCTCTTACAAAAGCGCAAGAGTTGTACTTGATTCCAATTATGTCGGATTAAAGATTCTAAATCTTTAGAAAATTCTCTATAAGATAAGATATGCAAATTGGAAAAATAAGAGAGGTCGAGAATAATTCATAAATAAAAATTTTCGAAAGACAATTCTTGTTTTATCTCACTGAGAGGATTTTCTTTCTTAAGAAAATTTTGAAAATTTGTTTGTTTTTACTTTCAGTATAATTCATAGATGGGACTAGCATCAACTGAAAATTGCTTATTTATCAACATTTGTGTACAAACAACATTTTGGTGTTGCGTTGTCATCTTCTCATATCGCATTCAGTATATTTTAGTTTAGTTTTAATCGCATATACACCACGGAACAAAATTAATTTTTACCTGATAGAGAATTTTCCATTCGTTCATATTTTTGATCTGTTAGTCGCTTGCCATTTTAGTTTAAAAGAAGGCACGTATTCAGGGCACGGTACAAGGGCAGCGGTAGAAGTGACTCGTGTTCATGGCGCCGTACGAGGGTAGCGGTAGAAGAGGCTCGTATTCGGGACGCCGTACGAGGGTAGCGGTAGAAGAGGCTCGAATTCGGGACACCGTACAAGGGGAGCGTTAGAAGTGACTCGTGTTCATGGCACCGCACGAAAAATTGAAAAATGTCATTAGCACTTTTAGTCGCGTTTTTCGATCTTTTACTGTAGGAAATATAATTATTTTATATTCTTTTCTGATAGAGAATTTTCCAGTCTTCCATAATCTATAATTTTTAGTTGCTATCTCTTTTAGTACAGAAGATATTCGCTATTGAAAATCGACAATAAAAATTATCAATTGCCTCCTTGGCCTGCGAGAGTAATAAATAAAAAGTGGACGTCTATTTTAAAGTATTATGGTGCGAATGACTAGCAGCCTTCAGCTTTTGTAAGGAGGCAGCGCGTCACGCTTCTGTGATCCCAATTCGTTTGTGTTGTTTCATTAACATGGAAAAACAAAAAAAAAAACAAACTGAGAAACATGTTTAGCTAAATAACTATTGTAGCGGTTATGTAGCCAGCTCCACATTATACTGTTTCGTATGCTTTTATTATTTGAGAATAAATTAATCAAGTTTGGACATTTGATTCCAATGACATTTGTCATGTATCGCTACGAAGAATTAACGCGTCTTCTAAAGAGTGTCATTTATTGATTTTGTTAATGTTTTTGTATTTTGTAAAATGAACTTGGGTACAGATTCAAAATTTAGGTAACGATTTGTATTTTATTGAATGTTTATATGTTAGATGCGTTTACTGCGTCAATCGCGTTTACCTTTTTTATGTCCTCTGTCGTTGCCCCGAATGTATCGTAATACTGATAGTAACCACGTGTTGTCGCCGTTAGCTGTGCACACGCAGTTCCATTCCGGTTGCCGCGTGAGTCGCTCGTGTTCATCATTTGATTCTCGAACAATCTCGTTAATAAGAAAATTTATTGATTTTCAATACACAATCGGCAGTACATATCGGGGACGTGGTTTTACTATGTAATTGTACCCGTCGAATGTTCATCAATCGTGAATTAATCTTCCGTTTACCTGAGCGCGTGTGATGTTCCGTCGATCGTCGCTGAATATAAGCCGTGTTGGTCTACATGTGCACAGCGTGCATGTTCGTCAGCACATTGGAAAACCTTTGATTTATAATTATGTGCTGCAGATAGACAACGTTGGTGCCCAGGGAAAGAAGTTTGTGAGTGACCGAACCATGAAGTTAGCAATACGAGTATCCATAGCGGTGTTGGAGAAGCACGTGTTTTAAGGCAAGTTTTTATTGCTACAGCATTTCCTAGCTCTTGATATTTTTATATAAAAAAATGTATCTATTGTTAAATATTGCCAATAAAACACAAAGTAATAGTACCATCTTATTCATATTTCTTTATGGTATCCTCTTTGTTGTTTTCAGTTTTAAATAATACGACATACGACAAATCTAATGTGTGTGCAACGGGTATAGCGTAACTAACTGTGGCTTGAATTGTGTTGTTGTTTATAAAAACATGATAAAAATAAAAACATAAATAGAAGAATCAAATATAAGTGATTAAAACACTCGGTGGTCGAGTAGGTACGTGCACCTGCTGGCATGCCAGCAAACACGGATCGAATCTCAGGTATAGAAGGCATTTTTCTCAAATATAAAAATATCATGTGAAATTTGGGTTGCATACATGAAATGCAACGAAATATAAGAGAAATTTAAATACAAGTGGTGGCAATAAGAGAAGTAAGAAAGTAAATAGAGAACGGGAGAACAGAGAAATAGAAGAATGAGAGTAGTAGAGAATAGGAGAAGATAGAAGGAAGAAAACAGAGGGTAGAGTAGAGTAGAGTAGAGAGTAGAGTAGATAGAAGAAAGAGAACAGGGGAGAAGATCAGATTTTTAAATTTTTTGGCCCGTGTCGTTAGACAGTCTACTGCTTCGATCCGTCCATTGCTCCCGGCCCATCCTACAGCTACGATGTCTCTGCGCTTCATCCCCAGAATTATCAGGCATATCAACAATTTTCATGGTGGGAGATCACCTCCAGAGAGAGGGAACTCCTTATAAGGACAATCCTTATAAGGTCTTGTAAAAATATTTCTAAGTTTTAAGTCATCTCAAGAGAGGCGACACTCTTGTAATATTCTTACAAGTTCTGGCCTGTAGCTGAAAGGAAAGAAGGAGTACACAAATCATACAGGTTACCTTAACAATTTTTATAGAGGGGATCATCCCCTGAGAGAGGGAACTCTCTTAGAGACCTGTTCCTGAAATGATAGAAGGCGAACACACAAATCAACGAAGTCAATATATCTTACTATTTCTTTATTAATAATAGAAAACAAGTTTAGGTTTTACAAGTCAACAGAATTCATGTCGCCATATTGAAACAGGACTTACGACCTGCTTAGCCGCGCATATGTCAGCAAATACTACTTCATAAAGTTATACCGGTATAATGAAATTAGTAAATTGCCAATTTTCTAGGTGATTGAAAATGGAAATAAATATACAGGGTGTTACAAAACGAAAATTTAAAGTGCAAAAAAAAATCTCAAAACTACAAATATCATTCGTTTTCGCCGGAGGTTCCGGGAAACTAATATACAGGGTGTCACAAAAAGAAAATTCAAAAGGCAATGAGGAAAACGCTAAAAATAACAGTTGAAGCAAAATTTTCACGGGCACTAGGGAAAATGAATATACAGGGTGTTTTCGAAAGAAAATCTCAAATTCAAAACACTCAAAACTCACAAATACAGGCAATTTTCGTCGTAGCATTAGAAAAACTAATAGACAGGGTGTTACAAAAAGAAAATTTTAGAAACTACAAGGGATTCACAACATGGAGACGGAAATTTACAAATGCAGAACAATATTTTAATACGAAATCAAAGATTTTTCCCGAAAATCATCGAGAAATTGGGCAAACAGGTGCTATGAAAATAAAACACTCACATTTTATTACTCGTATATAGTTTATATATTTATTAATTGATGATAGATAGCATCAACTGCACAAAGTAACCGACGGGCGAAGCATTATCATAAATTGATAGAATATCCGGTGGAAAACATCTAAATTAACAGACGGCAAGCGACGGCGCGTAGCAATACAGTTGGTAAATACGATATAAATAACTATTTTTTTTATAAATATTAAGATGTACGGAGACTACAAAAACGAAAAACTATTCAACATACAAGATTTACTAGGTCAACAAGAAACTTCTTAATTTAATGATGCTAAGAAGTGCAAATCGATTAAAAACGTTCACGTGTTCAGCGAAAACATAACCGAGCCGACGGCTGACAGCAAAGTGAACGTGGTCGACCACATGAATATTGTCATTTTAATAATCTTCACATAATTTTAGAAACCGTGTTTGTAATAATTAAATCATGCATGTTATTTTTGGAAACGGGACTAGGAAATCTGATAGAAATGCAAAATTAATATCTCTCAAATTTTATAAGCAATTTAAACCGCCTTAACTTTTCATTAAAAAAAATTAATTACACGCCTACCTAAGCATTGATGGGGAGATTTTCTATCCTGGAATATATTCTATCAACAGAAACCTCGCGCGCAGATTAACGGATACTTATTGTACACTTAAGAAGACTCTAACCGCCACAAATCATCACACAAAACACCCACACGTGCCCGTTGCAAATATTTTGCTGATGACCGAAATATTACACGACGATTAAACCAATTAAAACCTCAAAACGCGTGGCGCTTAGAGAGACACGTTCGCGGACCACGCGGTGAAACGACTGCCGTGTGCGCGGCGTGTAGCCAGGTACAAGGCAGGTATGTAGCGATATCAACAAAAAAGTTGTTTATATACAAACGTACTGATAAACACTTACTTGGGAAGACGAAACTAAAATTTCACAACGTTGAAGTAACACACTTACACGAATTCTACTTTTATTTTCAATTAGCGACCCGCCCCGGCTTCGCACGGAAACAAAAACCGCATCAAAATACACGGGGGGGAAGCTAAGAAGCATCGCACAAAGAGGAGATGGGAATAATCGGAAACTTTGTATTTACGACATCACATTAGAAACCTCAAAAATAACAGTACTTCTCCACTATTTAATAGATGTTATTATACATATAAACCTTCCTCTTGAATCACTCTATCTATTAAAAACAAACGGCATCAAAATCCGTTGCGTAGTTTCAAAGATTTAAGCATCCAAAGGACCGGAAAAAAAGCGACTTTACTTTATACTATGTAGTGATATTTCTTGGCATAAGAAAATAATTTATTGCTTTTGGGATGCAATAAGATTGAGAAAAACATGAATTTAATTTACCATTACAAATAAATCATTTATTGTATAAGTTTACTGTATAGTTACTACCTTAACCTTAGTTAATTGGTAATTACAACACCGCCCCTAATTTAAACATTCACTGTAAGAAATGAGAGTTAAAACATATCGCTCGGCGATAAGTTAAATATCATATCTACCTACTAATATTTTAATAAAGCGATTATCTCAAATATATTGGATACAAATACGCAGAAATATACAGCTAATGTTAAATAATTTCTATGTATCAGTGCAACACTCGACGGTGTAAACTCGCTCTAGATAATAGTTGTTTACATTCGCAAAGATGTTGAAAAATAAACACGGACAAAACTACATTCACCGAGTGTACAAAAAACACGTGGTTAAATAAAATTGACATTAACTCCGAGTATTACAAAATATAAAAAACACGAGTTTTCCTCAATATGATCGGTTTTCAAACACAAGTTTTAAAACATGCAAGAAATTCCCGGCTATTTTGAGACAGTTCAGACCAAATTTCGCAAGGTTTCAATGATGCATCTTGTAAAAGGGCTCTTGCTCTATCATATATAGAAGAAATAACTAAAATATTGCAAAGGTTTCGCGGGATATGACCAGTTTTCCACCGTAAGTTTCGAAAAATACTATAAAAGGGCAAACTTTCACGTCCATTTTGAGACAGTTAGGACTGAAATTTGAGAGGTATCAAGGGTGCATCTTGAAAAATGACTCTCGCTTTATCATGTAAAGAAGAAAAAACTAAAATATTGCGAAGGGTTCGCGAGATATGAGAAGTTTTCCTCCGCAAGTTTTGAAAAATGCTAAAGAGAGCAAATTTTCGCGGCCATTTTGAGACAGATAGGACTGAAATTCGCGAGGTTTCAAGGGTGCATCTTGGCCACGCGCATGTGAAACGCAAAAAAAAATACATAATTGAATTTTAAACTTACCAATGCAGAGCTCATGGCACTCAAGACTCGCCAAGCGCTGTAAATAAAAGTAAACAAATTGAAATATTTCATAAGATTTAATATTATGCTCATATTCACACATCGGAGAAAAAACTTGCAATACAATCTGTTCTGTCTGTTACAATGTTCTTATAGATGTTACTTTCCCAAGTACTAATGGTCCTCTAATTGCAAAAATTAGAAAACCGCCTGGCAGTGCCCATTGAAAATTGAATCTACTCGTATACTCAACACTGTTTAATCTTAAGATACGCGGCGACTAACACACGCCGACCGTTTCTTGTTATTCGCAACGTATGGACATTAAACGCTAAATTAATCACTATCACACCCTGCAGATGCAAGTTATAACTAAATAGTCGATTGATTGTTGTTCAAAGCATCGTATGAAGGTAGTGGTAGAAGTGACTCGTGTTCAGGGCACCGTACCAGGGTAGCGGTAGAAGTGACTAGTGTTCAGGATACCGTACGAAGGTAGCGGTAGAATTGACTCGTGTTCAGGGCACCGTACCAGGATAGCGGTAGAAGTGACTCGTGTTCAGGATACCGTACCAGGGTAGCGGTAGAAGTGACTCGTGTTCAGGATACCGTACGAAGGTAGCGGTAAAAGTGTCTCTTATTCAGGCCACCGTACCAGGGTAGTGGTAGAAGTGACTCCCATTCTGGGCACCGTACGAATCTTTTATAATCTTCAAACCGCTGATCACTATCTCTTTTAGTTTAGAAGATATTCGCTATACAATATCGTCGAAAAAAAATTATTAAGCACCTTCTTTCCCATTTTTTTCTTAGATATTAAAATTTCATCTCTTAGATTTCCATTTTATGGAAAGACCATCGTATGGAGAGATTTTCGTAGATAAAGAATCTACGAATTGTTCCTTTCTACCTCTTTTATTTGCGAGTTTGAGAGATATTCTCAATTGAAAAAAATGGTCAAAAATTGAAACATTTCACTTTTTAGCACTCTTAGTCGCATTTTTCGACCTGTTACTCTATAAAATTAAATAATTTCAAATTCCACCGACGGACCGTCATAAGTTCGCACCATATATACCATACATATCCGCTACCATTAATATTGTTGATTGAATCAAATATAAATTGATTGGTGCTATGATGCAACGATGCAATTATGTCTTACCAAAGATAACTCATCTATAACTCGTCTATAACAATTCCGATTGATTAGAGTCACATGGTAGCTCGTACACTTGCTAAATGGGTACACTATAACTACACGTGCAAAATATAGTCAACGCAGACAGAACCCGAGCACAATTAACGATTGATGAACATTGTCACTACAATTGTTAATCGAATTTAAATCAATTTATCGATATATAGTCGCGAGAAACAGAACTAGTCGTTATGAACACGCGCGATTTACTCGATAACCGCAATGGAACTGCACGAAACTGCACATAGTCGACTACATGAGGTCACTATCTATCGCTATTACGATACGCTCGCGCTGCGGGAAAAAAATTGTTTACACACAAATCATTTCATTCTACGCGTGGTTTGAAACTGTCGGAATAAGACAAGGAACCACAATAATATCAATGACATCATTGTTAACAGCGCTCTCTAGTGGAAAAAGTCTCAAGCCGAGATGCTGCTGTAGAAGAAAAGTGCAATTTTCAACGTTATAGTCAACGTTAAATAGTCACGTTATTTACTTATCTTAAAATACTAAAATAATGTCTCGTCGACCTCTATCAACGCTCCAAAAATTGGACATTTATGAGATTTTATTCCGTTGTACTTATGTATAAGGAAAAATTAACTAAATTTTAAATATTTAGATTCAGTTTCATAAAATGTTGATAATAAAGAACTAAAATTATAAGGAAAAGAAATAGCAAATATTGCAGAGTGTAAAATTCTAAGGTTATGAAAAAACTCAAAAGTAAATTTTATGTTTATTAAGTCCCTGAATTGCGCCGTGCTTAGAAATTACCAACCAATAAAAAAGGGAGGCAGCTCCATCGTCACGATGCATTTAATTTAGTCCCGTAATTGAATTGTGATTCCTCTAGCGCAAGTACTACGTAAAATGTGTAATTATATCCAATTAACATGCCACGGGTACCACCACCACACGCTTGCACTATACAAAGACGCAGTGATCTAGGTGAGCATACAAATACACACATGCTTGAACGTGTTTTCGATAGAATTGGCGCGCGAAATCCCGGTTGCCATGGCTGCATGCGCGAGGAAGGCCGACGATAGCGGTGGCGGCAGCGGCGGCGGCAGGTCGATCTGCGCGCCGGTGCCGTCCACCTCCTCGCCGCCAACCGGCTCGCGGCCTCCGGTGCGCTCCGCAGACGATGCGAATCCGTTCTCTCGTGCGTTCCCCGTCGTCGCTAGTTCTCCTATAATTGCGCGAAAAGCATGGGGTCGTTATTACCGCTCTGAGAGCAGTCTTAAAGCAGCTCTCGGAAAAATCCGGCGCACTCGAAACTAAACTTTACTATCTGTGTTTGTGGCTGGTAGTTTTTTGCTTGTTTCATTTAGTTTTCCAACCGAACTGAACACTGACTTAATTCTTGTTTTACTTTTATTGCCAAACTGGCGATGCGTGGGTGGTAGTGGTTCCAGAATGTGAGTGACTTTTTCTCTTCTTATCTTCGACACGTCTCACGTTTCTTCTCTTCTCTTGCGATTCCTCCGCCTCCGCTCGTTGTGTAACATGTGAGTATTTCTCTGTTTGCTTTTCCAAGTGTTTTTCACTACACGACCCTATCGCGCGCTCTCGTTCCGTGACTTTTGTCACATTTGATAAATTGAGTTATTTGTTTTTCATTAACTTCATTGCCGGCGCCGCTCTCGACTTTTCCGCGTCGCAAAATAGCTAACAACAAGTAAACAAAACTTCAAACGCGCTCATCCCGTTTTAAATAATTAAACGGCCAATATCAAATAACTCTCAAATCGGTAATAATATTTATTTACCAGGCTATTCATAAATATTTCACTCACTAATCCTACCAACTAAATATACAATTCATAGTTTCACATGTGATAAACAATAAAAGTATTGTTTACACTAATGTCATAGAATGTTGCAAGTAGCGAAAGTTTCAATATTATTCAGTCGAAGGTCCGCGCTTGAAATGTTCTGTCGAAAACGTAAACTCGACGACAGATTTAGACGTCGTAAACGCGTCGCAGAACTTACAACGTCTAAGCGACGACGGAACGCGTAAATTTTTATTTTGTTATTACAACTTTTATCATCGAAGGCGTCGCGGCAAAAAAAAAAAAGCGCCGACGAAAAGCGGATGCGTAAAAACGTCAAAACCCCAGCAACACTTTCGGACAAACAAAACAGTTTATCCACTGAAATATTTGCTCGACGAACCTGCAGGACAACATACGTACAAAAAGCAGCAAACATACAATCTCCCAAAGTTGAATATACAGTGTGTGACAAGAAAATAATTTCAATGCATGTTATATAAAACATTTTAAAATGATGACCAACAGTATCTCCTGTTTGTTTGGCAGGTTGGTTGGAAAGGGTGGTAGCAAAATGAAAACTTGTTTGATTGCTCACGCCAAGCGCACACGCGTCGTCCTGTTGACAGAAGGCAACACATTCGAGACGCTCTTCACGGTTTCACGCATTTTGCGCATCACACAATGTTCAAAAACATCCAGACACATACATGCCTCTTAGTGTGCACAAGAATGCCAGCCAAGAACGAAAAATATTTCAGTCAATAAATTTATGTATATTCGTGCGATTTACAGTTGATTAAACAGAAAGATCTCTTGGCTTTGAGTTTTCAGTTTCTGTCTGTAACCAAAATAGAGTTAAAGAACAAGCACCAAGTCGTAATTAAATATTCGACACTCGTGCACAGATGAACATCACCAAGGGATAGATGATTTACAAATAGCCCAGTTTCGATAGCACACAGCGGAAAGTCACGTCTTTGAAACCAAGTAGCTAATAAAATCACAATCAAGTTAGCAACTAAGAATTGAACAAAATTACTTAAAAAAACTTAATTGCAATAAAATATTTTAAATCAATGTAAATGGTCTATGTGTGAAATATACCTCACATTAAATAATTTTATACTTTAAATTCTGAATTTATTTTAGCTCATATATGTCAATATGGAAGTCTTTAATTTTTTTTGCTTTCTATTCGGGTGTTTTTGAAACGGTCGTTTTCTTGAAGTTCTACTTTTCAACGTTTCGGTGTTCTTGCCCAAAAATGCCCCGGAGCTACCAGGCATGTTCAGTGAAAACGAACGCCGTAGCACGCGGATGTACGTGAAGTGAACCTCAGAGACCGAGCGATTCTCCCTCGAAGAGGCACGTCCCTTCGCTCGTTCGTTCATGTTGATTCAACGAATTGTACGCGCTCGCGTTGTCAACTTGCTCGTTCTCGGCATCCGCTGTGCGAAAATAGGCCGCGCAATGAAAATTTAACGAGAGTGTTTGTTAATAACGTCCCTCGGGTGGCGTAGCGTCGGAGATTTAGTAGCTTGGTTTGCAGCACTCCTGAATTACAGCCGAGTATTTGGATCAGTACAAGAAAGATTGATTTCGTACAACTTCCAGTAAAGATCTGAAAATGTTGGTGTAAGACGAATAGCAGAGGAAAGTTGTTTTTGGCGAGTTTTGCGAATTGCAGTGAGTTTAAGACTTTCGGAAATTCAAGGTTTTGCTTGATCGATTTTAGAATTCTGGAGTTGAATCTTTATATGGAAGTCAGGTGTGTTGACCATAAATCTATGACACAAAATAAAAGGCACTAGATTCAACCATAGTCGTATCCACAAGCTAAATGATAGTGAATTATATTTACGGACGAATTTTAAGTACGTCTTACAGCAAGAGCTAAAGCTTCATCCAAAGCCAGAGTTGGAGTTTATTTAGTGGATAGTAAAGTGGTTTATTACTCTGAGAGTGCGCCTTAAATGTAATTTTCATACGAAATGAGAAACCCAGTCGAGCAAAAATACGAAATAAAATATTTTGAATTAGACACAACTTGCTGAAATCAGGAAATCGTTAAAAATCAATTATTTACAGATATTTGTATGCTTCAGTTCGGAAAGCTTTCATTCCAGTGTAAGCTGAATTAGAGGCAAAATTCCAGATTTTCCTAGTATAAATCATCAAATGTTGTGTTGTGGCGCATGTGTGCTACATGCGGCACATCTCCAAATATTTTCTCGTAATCCAACAGCAGCGGCATTACTCAATCCGACGGAGTGTCGGGCGAGCGCGGGCGAGTCTGCGACTGACAGACGGGGCAAGCGTGGAAAAGCTCGGAAAAGCGTGCCGAGCGAGTGTTTACAACCAATCATATATTGAAATCGCAGCGTCATGAATTTTATAACTTTAGACCACACCGACGTGCATTAATGGAAGCAACTCGTGCGACACGTAAACACAACAAAATGAAATGTTCGCAAGGTTTTCCGAGCTTTCCATGAATAAACAAACCACAAAAAGCGCTCAATAAAAAATTATATCAGAAAAGTGAATTGTTATGATTCACTTAGGTAACAAGAATCAGGAATTTTTGAAATTATTTTCGACGAAAAATATTTGTTAAAGAAGATTTTATTTTCTAACCAAGGAAAACTTTTCCCAATTGTTTAATGCAAAATTAATTCTGTTTACTTTCCCAGTTAGGAACATCTTCTGACTGCAGTTTGTTCTGGAAATACTTTTTCCATAAATTTCTCAGGTGCTTAAACTTTGGGTTTTGATTCGCCCCGAAACTTGCCAACTTTCCAGGAATCGTAATTATTTGGGAAATTGCAGAACAAACAACTTGGGCCCGTAGCAAGGTTTACAAAGACAGTAGAAACCTTTCCGAAATACCATTATTACGAACATACGCAGGCTTGAAGCTGCAAATATTAGAAATCCTTTCGGTTCTCTTAGTTTTCCGGTTACGCAGTTTGCTGTTAATCGACCCCGAGAACATAAGGAACGTTCGCATCCGGTACGGTTATCTAATTGATCGTGATTTATAACAGTTATGGAACTCTATACCAAGAATTGAAAATTGAAACCCTACAGACCCAAATAGCATGTGATGACGTGGTTGTGGTGGGGCTGATAAGGTGATTCGTGAAATTCAAACATCAAACATTTTTCTTTTAACACTTCAGGTTTAATCTAAATGTGAATTTCACAGTGTTGGTGACTGTGGGTCGGAATTTCCGGTCGAGGTCGGGTGCGGGTTTTGGGTTGCGCGATTCGCGTTATCATTTAATTCGAAATTATCAAGTATCGATTTTACATTTTACATTTCGGGCGTGGGTGTCTAAGAATAAATCCGTTTCGGTGTGCGGTGGTGCTTCCAAACCAACGGACTTCCGGTTATAAATATGTCTCCCGAGGACGACACCCCAAAGCTCCAGAAGTGAGAAAAAGATTAAAACTGAATTTATTAGTGTTACATCGTTTTAAAACCACTTGCAAAGCCCGTAAAACAGGAAAGTTTAATTGAAAACATAATATACGTACAAAAATAAACATTCCCGCACGCTTGTACGTTTTATTGATTCATCCAAAATGTTTAAAAGTAAATAATCAATCACTGAAACAAGATAATAAAAATAAAAGTGTTTTTGCACTTAACTCAATTATTTCAACACGTTTTTGTTTTATCTTCCAACAACTTTTACCTAACTCTGGTTTTTTGTCTTGAATCTTTTAAAGTTGATTTTAATTCAGGGCAATTGAAAGTACATCCTGGAGCGGTATGTAAATCGCTAAATATGCAAATAGAGTTCGAATTAATTTTCGTCTCTTTAGAAATAAAATGAAAAAATCGCTGCCAACGTTGCCAACCAGCAGTGATGGTAGCAAAGAGGATTTTCCGTCTTTTGGAGTGATACTTATTTAATTTCCACGCCATGGTAATTGCAAGAGTGGTGGGAATGCCAAGACTGATTCAACATTTCCGGTTTTGAAAACTGTTCGTAAAATACACGCTTTGAAATCTATTAAAATTTACAGTTTAACATAACGCTGTAAATCTGATTCAGTTTTATATATTGGCTTGTTTTAATTCTTGATTAGGTGGAAATGAGAAAAGCATGATTTTTGCAGCCGTTGTGCTTTATCAAAGCATTGGGGACGACGAGTGAATTTTAGATCAAAGCGGCGAGCGCAGCTATGGAGTAGGGCTTGTACTCGTACTGTGCTTGAGCTGTAAGAGCAACGGCGGCGGAAGCTAAAACAATTCCTAATTTAATGCGCTCGCTCTTCGAAATTTAATTTTCGGAGAGGGTTTTTTCCGCACACAGCTTTAACAGTTCACACTGTTTTGGCTTTGCTTTTGTCGCAGCAGCAGAAATTTTCATGTGCTTTTAGTCGTGTTCTTTTTTTCCCTGTAATAAGTAAGTTTAAAAATAAATTCGAATTTCATGTATGATTTCATTTGGAACTTTGAGGTTTTAAGAATATTAATTAGTTACTGGTGCGACACGTCCAACGTCAAGGGAAAACTTTTCATTTTACGTCTTTATTCACCGCTTTTAGGCGTACGTGGTTTGCGCGGCTTTTAGGCATACCTTCAGCTATTGAAACTTTTCAACCATATTTCGCGCTGGCAGGCAGCGCAAGAATGCGGAAACTTTCTGCGTTTACAGAAAGTAAACCGAAATTCGCGTCGACATAAAGGCCGTTGGTACGCCATCGAGATAATATGG